CAGATGGGTTTTCCCTCTACTTTTCATCTGCAAAGACCTTCGCTCAGTCTCTTGTAGGATCTGTGAATGTTAAAAGTGCCAGTGCTCTGAGTTCTGTGGTTAAGCCCTAGGGTATGGGGAGAATTATCTTGCCAGTACAGTAACCCAGATTGCAGTCTGCTAATCATGGCTCTGGACTGGGAGCTGTTTGAGCTAGCATTCAGTTAGAGCACCACTGGTATTTACTGGGGTAAAAGAGGAACCTCATCCTGAAGCTTCAGGTGGCAGGTAGAAGAACTAGGTGTGCTGTTGGTTATGGTAGAGGCTTTGGCCTGTGGGTAAGGTATCTGGAGCAGAAAGGCCAACTTTTCTTGTTGGTTCTGTTGCATTGTATCTCCAGTGCTGTTCAGAGCTGGCTTGTGGCAGGAGGTCATTATCTGCTGGAGGGCATGACTGTGCCGGACAGGGAGCCTGAGATATCTGTAGATCGCTTAATTAACATCTGCTGCAGTCCCAGAGTTTTCCCCTCTGCAGTCACTAAATGTGTGGAGTTATGATGGACAGTCCTGGGACACTTTAGAGTGGACTGCTTAGAGACGTCTGTCAGTTACCAGATCTGTCAATACACTGCTCTAACCATTTGGCAGCAGTTATCAAACACACCACCACCATCCCTTGCTGTCAAGGAGCCTTCTAGCATATTATGACGCTTGTCATGAGCGCAAACATCTACTTTCTCTTCATAAAATCTCAAGCTGCCTTATCTCCTGGGGACAAGCTAAGGAGGGTGAGCAGTCACAGCAACTGACTGTGGCTTCTGCTTTCTACCTCCTCCTGTACCACAAGGATGCTCCCCTGATGTGTGGAACAGTTTTCCAGTACAGAGTGTAGGTACCTCCTCTGCACCCAGGGGATTTCTGGTTTCCACAGCATTGTGCTATTCTGATCTTTACAAGAGTTCTCAATCTCCCCAGAAGTCCCTACCATCTTGCAAAGACCTTTGGGAACTGATTAAGTGATAATAGAATAAATAATAAGTGCCAGGCTTCTTGACAGTCTTTGTTCGACTGCAGTCTACTTACAAACCTTAGAGCAATAGATTATTCAATGTAAACTGTAATGTCTTCCGTACCTTGGCACTTTGTAGGAACTCTTGCACAGCCTGTCTCAATCAGTTTCAATGTCCCTATCAGAGAAGATTTCTAACTTATTGGAGCTAACTACCAATATTTTTCCTTTAGTGCTGCAGCAGTGTCAGCTTTGAGAGTTGATACAATGCTGGTCTGTTTGCCAATGTGCTCATATATCATGCAGCTTCACCATTGAAAATAAGGTGAATTTAGTCTTAACAGGACTGTTGAATTTTATGTGTGGCCTAATCCAGAATGCACCAACGCTTTAAAAGAGGGAGGGTCAAGGGGAGGAGAGGTTTTGTGGACTTCTACATCCTTTGAATTCAGCTGTCTAAAAGGTCGGGCTTGTTAGTGATACTGCTGATAATTCTCTTGCAGTTTCCAGACCTCTGTGCCCTATGCTGACAGCTCAAAACATACCACACCACTATCCCCCTCCCCTATATTGAGACATTTCTGACATTGGAGCAAGACTGAGTAGAAAGCAGGCTGGCAGAAAACAGCCGCCACCTCCAGGAGGACCACACAAGGTTGGGGTTTAGACCCATCCTTATTAGTCCTGGTCTCCATAGGTAACATCTTCAGCAGAAGTTTGTGTCTTTTCATGGTAACATGGGTATGTAAGAGGTGCTGGCTGTCTCTTCAGCCATCCTGCGGATACCTTTATACTTCAGATAGCTTCCTACCCATGGTTTCCGTACTTACAGGAAAGACTACATACTAAGTATCCCTAAAGAAAGGGAGGTGGGTTTGCTCCTGGTATTGGGTGAGGGTGCCAAGGCTGGGAAGGATATCAGTCCTGCTCTTTGGAGAAGAGTGTGGTTAGGCCATAGGGCACCAGGCTGGGCACTCGCTAACTAGTTTATTCTCTGCATTATCACAACAAAATAAGGTTAAGCCATACTAGTTGCTGTTTGTATCAGTTGTCCAGGGGCTGTAACAGATACCAAGGCTCTGCTGTGCTCAGAGCTCTGTTAAAATATAGTAATATAGGTTTGGAGGTTTTTGAGGAAATTTATGCTCTTTTTAAATAAGATCAGACAACTGGTGAGATTGAGAAACAGAGCTGGGGAAGGTACATCACCTGTCAGGAAACAATGCTCAGTGGCAGAAATGTGTATAGCTGTGAACTCTCTTGATCCCAGCCCTAGTTTTATATACACTACACCACGCCTCCTTCACGGTGAATGGGCTAAACTGGTATAACACCCATTTTCAGTGATATCTTTTCTTCACTGGTGTATTTACACTGTCAGAACGGCTTTGGGGTTAAAAAGAGATGAAAGCTAGAAGTGACTGGACCTTTACATATCAGATCAGGAGGACTTTTCCTCTGCTGTTAAGCAAGCAAACTCTGGTTGCGCACTGAGCTTCAGCAAGCACGTGCGTTTATACTCAAGGCTAAAATCCCACTGCCAGGAGTCCCTCCTGATGCACAAAACCTGGGCCTTCTCTTTGTTGCCTCATGCGAAATCCTCAGTTGTCCTCAAGCACTTTGAAGAGCAAGACACAATAGCCCAGGTATGGGAGTGGCATGATGAGGCTATAGTGCTGAAGCTACATTATGGGGTTGGAGCGTGTTGCCATGAATTAAGAGGATTTATTTTGAATATTTATGTTGCCTCACTCATTTTTATTCCTTCCCACCCCCAAACTGTTGGGAGCCTTCCTCGGCCCCTTTAAGACCCCCCTCACTGTGGAGCTCCTGGTCCCTTTGGCGAGACATGGCAGGAATGGATGGGCTGTGCACAGTGGGATCAATTGTAAAAAGTGGAATTAGTCATTCTAAATCATGCAGCTGTGGTCGAAGGGAGCTCTTCTAAAAATCATTAAACAATCATGTATTCCTATTGATTTATTCAAAATACCTTGAGGGAAAGCAGATTAAACACAAGGTAAAAGTAAACTAATGCAGATTAAATGGATGAAGGATGGGCCGATAGTTCCCTAGGTAGTTTTTGTACTAATGAGAGGAAAATTATATGTACACTATAACCAGTATAAAAGGGTCTATTAGAGATCTTTTGCTTGACATATTTATGTATTTCAAATACTAAGTAGCACAGTGAATTAGGTTTACTCTGGACATTTGTTATTTTCATTGCATCTCCAAGTGATAAACAGGGCTTTCTGTTGAGGGCAGCATGCTACTTTGCTCAGAAAGCACGACCCTATCTGCATAGAAAAATGCTGAGATGACGGTCGCATTTTGGATGCCATTTATTAGCAATCCAAGTGCAGTTTTACACCCACTTCTGAGAATTGCAGCCCGTCTTCAAAATGAGGGGTGCCGGTATATATCCGTATTTGAAGCCACCCTCACCCCATCTCCTTTCCACTTCATCTTCCTGTGCTGCTCATCTTGGGTGGCGTTCATCCAAAAGCCATGTGATGACTCAGGTGATACGTTCACTATGCCATTCACCCCCATCTGTCATGTGCTTGCGGCAGTGCCCTGAACACAGTACACTGCAGGGAAGATGTCATTGTTGTCATCTCACATGTGCTTGCTCTAACTGCTGTTTGTGTTCAAGACAGTTGGGTTCAGATCTTGGAAACAGCCATATTAAACACAATTGGAAACAGAGCAATCATATTTGATGCAGTCAAATTCCATCTTAAATGTAGGCAAGAACCCCCTTTTTTGGTTTATAAAAGCATCTGGATGTGGTAGAATCAACCACATGGGTAATTGGCAAGGATATTAAATAGCAGGAGTCACTTTATAATTATGCAGGAACTCTGAATTGGAAGCCCTAACACTGGTTCCTGCTGCAGGTAAGGACAGGGCTGCTGATCACAGCTTCATCAAGTTACAGTCTGCTTGTGGGTTTTCCACAGACTTCAGTAAGTACCACTGCAACAGTCTGAAAAGATGTATCTCAGAGGAAATTAACATTTTGAAGAAAACAGTGGTGCCATGTAGAGAGATTTGTCTGCAAAGCCAAATTGCCACTACTAGAAACAAAATGAAAATACATAACCTTTGTTAAAGTGTATAGTACAGCAAGTATTTGCCTATATATATGCAGAATGGTATATGAAGCAATCATAGCTCGAAAGTGGACTAATTGTATACCTCATCTACTCTTGCAATTATTATTTTTGTTGATTAATGTGTCTAAACCAATTTAAAAAACAAAAACTTGCGACAGCTGGATAAGATGCTCAAAACCACACTGACGGGTAATTTCATTATATGTTGCACTTGACTAAAATATAGCTAATAAGCTGCAGAAACTAACTACAGAACTTAAGGCTTAATATGTAATTTGTAACATGTGCATAAACCATTAATTATAGGCCCTGTTGTGGTCTTGTCAATCAGTGCAAAAATATTTGCCCAATGGTTGCTGAAAGAAGAGTACAATACAATGTGGCCTGAAGATTCATCCACACAAAGGCTGACTCACTCAAGGAGTGGAAAGGTCTTAGACAACAAAGATTTCATTAAGTATTAATTACCAGCACTATTCAGTAGATGTGGTGGTACAGACAGTTATATTTCCATGTCTGGGAAGGGTCTCTGCCTTGCTGAGCTGCCTAGCCTGGGTATGGTGTGCAGGAAAACCGTGGCTAAAGTTGTTGGGTGTCCTTCAAGTATTTCTCTGCTCATGGCAAGTGTTGTCTTGTGTAGTCAGACATCTGGTCTTGTAAGAAATGAGCTTGTGAATCTTAGTGAGAGACCTTGTGGAAAGCTTTCACAGTTTGTGCTATGTTTACACATATTGTTTCTAGGATTTGGTTTTGTGTTGAAAAATGATGTTGTAAGCTAGTCGTCAAAGCAGGTATCTTTGAACACCAAGTGTCTGCTTCATAGTAAATATTGTTTTCCTAAATCAAATATAGATATTGGAGTCAAGCATCGCTAAAGGTATGTAGTAAGCAGTGGGTTCCTAGGAGTGAGCAGTAATGGAGAAACAAGCCGACATTGATGCCCAACCCACCAGCAAGAGAGGAGCCATCTCTCCTCAGCCATACTGGAAGCTGCTGCTTCTGTCGACAGGTACCTCTGTGCACACAGCAGTGCAGTGAGAGCAGGGTACAGAAGCTCTTGCTGGTCTCCTTGCTTATATTACATTCTTTCTGCCTCTGAATGTGTAGGTCCACAGGTATTTGGACTATGGCTGCCAGGTCCCCATTCCAGTACAGGAGTGTCAGCCAAGGTGCTGGTGCTTCAATGCTCAAGTGGCATGGGGGTGATACCCAGGCGTGTGAGCAGAGGGGACGGTTCCTTGCAGATCTAGCTGGTTGCACCAGCTGGGTTTAGCTCTGCAGCTAAGCCGCAACTTCTCCATGCCCACCAAGGAGTAAAAGGAGTGACCTTTCAGGGACATCAACAGCAAGTAAGGTAAAGTGGCAGGCAGAAGCAGAAAGTTCACTGAACTGAGGAGTTCACTGAACAGCCTCATCAAGCATGAAAAAACTGGCTTTCCCAACAGAGAAGGAGGGGGTTCCTTGTGTTGCAACTCGCTGCCAGACAAAAAGCAGTTGCAGGAGTCTGCTCGTGAGCCAAAGTGAACAACAGGATATTTTAAATGATTGACCTAATTATCCCTTGACATATATTAATATAGTCTGGATTTTTTTAATAAGTTATTGGTGTGTCAATAACTGGAGAGTTGTGTCCCTCGGCAGTTTCAGGGAGCTGTCTTGAATGCCAGTTTCAGTTCAGGCTGGGTTTCTGTTCTGCAAGAAGATAAAACTGTAGAAATTGTCAGACTTGATCAGAGCAGGCAGTCCATCTGATCAACAGTCCTGTCACCAGCTTACTTGAAAAATAAAGGAAGGATTTTTTTTCTCTTGCTGCTGTTTAGCAGCAAAAGAAAAAAAAAGCCTTTCTGCTCTATATCTCTTACCTTGCTGTTCAGCCTGCCTCTAACCAGAGCAAAGGGAGAGAAGTGACTCCAGAAAACCAGTTCGTCCCATCTTTGTTAGCTGTCTGTTCTTGGATTCTTGATCTCTGTCTTTGAATTCAGTCCCAAAACCTGACTTCAGATGTATAGCTTCAAACGACGATAGTTGCACTAGAGGAATCCAGGAGTAAATGTCAATAAGTTTGCCAAGTAACACTAAACAGAAGATTAATGTCAGTTTGAGGGAGAGGAGGGAAATATCTTCTACAGTCAAAGTTTTGCATCTTCTGGAATGGTCCGTCTTCAGTAATTTCTCTGTAGGTAGTGTATAAATATGACAAAATATAACCTGTCCCAATGTCTGACCCATGAACTATCTTTCCATTCACTCACCCACTGGGGGGAGAAAGATCTACATTTTTTCCCTCTCCCTATGTATGTGGGGCAACATTTATTTCTTTGTTGGCATTGTGGCAATGAAGTTTGTAATGAAAGCCATCTGTCAGCTGGGGAGGAGATGGAAGTCTCATCTATAAGTGAAGCTGTTGTGAGGCAGTTCCCAACTGGTGCTTATTGAGAGTACAGAAGAGCTTGAGGAATCATAAGCAATACAAACATTTCCCTGCTTCACAACTGAGGAAGAAACAGAAGAGTAGGATGGCTTTTTTGATGAGTTGATAGTAATCCACTGGGTTTACATATGTGCACACTTCCACAACGCACCACCAGAAGCATCAACAAAAAACTGAACCCAGCAATCATCTGCTGCCTGGAGAGCACCTATTGCTAATCCTGTGCTCACTGCATGTGCCCAGAGCATCTTTTTGAGCTTCAGAAGGCCTCAGAGCCCTGCACTTTTTTAAGTGTAAGTTAGTGCCTTTTGCATTGTAACAAGCTGTGATGCCATACTTCATCGTACTGAAATTCTCAGCTCTTGGCTCAGTGGTAGGAAAATAGGAAGCAAAATTAGTTGGAGATTCAGTGTTCAAGAGCTCCTTTGGACCATTCTTTGTCTGCTTGCAAGGTCTGCTATGAATCAAGGTCTTAATTGCTGGGCATTCACATAAGAAACAAAAAGAAACATTTAATATGATCAGTATCAGATGTGCTTTTATGCCAAGCACTTCCAAGCACTACTGCTGGCTTCTCTGGCTTAGCATACAGTCATTGGAAGAAAGTCACTACATAGTGAATTATTAGGGTACCTGGAAATTGAGACTTGATTTGTGAGGGCTTATGTTATTCAACACTAGGCAAGCAGTAATTCTGTATGCCCATAAACTGTCAGCCCTGGTCCTTCCCTGGAAAAGTGCCAAGCAAAGCTCAGATTCATGTTTTGATGACATGAAATGTTTTGTGCCTTTTTGCCTGAGGCCCAATGTTTGTCACAGCCTAGACAGCAGTGACAAAAAAACATGAGGCATGGGATTTTTATAGACTGGTGGTATTTGTCAGTCCCTTGGATCCAGGACATTTTTAATGCATTTAACCCTGCTCCATTGATGACATTGATGATATTTTCCCTATTGGATAAAACTGGAATTACTGCTTTTTTAAATTTTGTTATGGCCAAGCCATGACTGCTTGTTTTTCATGAGAAACAAGGAGACTTGAGTAAAATAACCATTGTCAGTGGACTATATCATCTGGCAACACTGAACATACTCAGTGGATTAAAACTGAAAGGCTGTCACGATCTATGTGACTGTGACAATGTCTCACTTCCTTCTCTTGGCTCCTCTTGATATGTAAGAAATCCCAGTACTACTGCTGGATCACTCTTCCAGCTGGGAAACTGTCCCACAACATCAGTGCCGAAGAGCTTTGTTTGGCAGACACTGTTCAGCACTACACCTTCCTTGGGGGCAAAAAACACCCAAAACAGTGCAAGATTTGTTTAGCCACAGAATTTGTAAAATAAGACTCTGACACAAATCATGACCCAGAACCCTTGAATGTGTGAAGATGTTCTCAACTGATTTCGATGAGTTCTGGATAAAGCAATAATGAGCTGTACAATTTTGATTGTGCTGCCAGTCATCATATATACTTGTGTTAATGTAAGTTTATCCCTCTGTGAAGTCTGTCTTTCCATCCTGCTCGGACTTGGTAGTCTCTGTTTCAGTATCAACTTCTGAGGTTCCTGTTCAATGTATAGTTTAAGTACTATGCCATGTGTGCACAGTTAAGGATATCACTTGAGTTGTAAGCCATGAAACCGAATATGACCTCCGTGAAAAACAACACTCATATGCAGACAAAAACACCTTCAACAATGACAAAAGAAATACTGAAAAATTACTGGTGAAGCAAATTGCTTCTTGAATGAAGTGCTCTTACCTGAGAATTTGTCCTGGCGTGAAAGTACTTTTCCAAATTCATCTTATGCCTCATGTCTGAAGCAAGGACAAGCACGGAAGAGGTCTTCCTATTTGACAAAGACAAAATAAGTAGCAACAAATGGTTGCAAGGGCAGCCAGAAGCTGGAGCTGTTTTCTCTGTGAGCAGGCAGAACAAGAGAAAGAGCAGAGCAAGGCTGGATGTTTCCTGCATTGAAGCAGATGGTACCAGTCTTTTTACCACATACTTCTGCAGGGCTGCTCTCCAGCCTCTCATCCACCAGTTTGTATGTATAAGTAGGATTACCCCTTCCGAGGTGGAGAAACCATATATTGCTTAGTAAAATACTGTTTGTTGCAGCAGTTGCTTCTGAAGTTCCAAATGGTTGCTTTGCCTGATGCTTTGAAGGTCAATACCTATGCAGAGATGTTTAAAGAATCTCAGTGCCTTTCCCAGTTTCTCTTTTCTTACAGTGGAAAAGAATAAAAACTCAGCCTATGCTAAGAGCAGTCTTATTTATTCCTCCTGCTACCACTTTATAGTATGGATTTCCTGATTGATGCAGTGGAGCTAGTGGAGATGAAGTTCTGCTCATTCCCCCTTGTCCTCTGCCCACATGCAAGCTGTTTCCTTGAGCACAGAGACAAAGGATATTTGTAGGTCATTTAAAGAGAGGGGCACCTCACATTCCTTTATTCTCTTCCAGGTTGCTTTGCTGGCCAATTCTTCTCCTTAAAAGTCAAGACAAGTAATTGCTATAAGCTGTCACAGGCTGTTCTCCTCACCTACATATCGTATTTGAACTGAGGAACAACTTTCATCATCTTACCAGCACAGGAAAAATAATATGGATGCTTCCAAATGATTAAAAATCAGAAGAGGGAATGCTGAGGACTGTAGCCAGCTCAAGAAAATTCAGCTCTGTTTAAGCAAGGCTATATATTTTTATGTTCAAGAAGTTTTAACACTTCCCAGTCTCACCTCAGCAGATTTCATTTTCTTGGAATAAATTGTTAGCATTTGTATAAATTTGACACAATTATTTTGGAGGCTCTTTGAGAGGGAGTTTTGCTTCAGAGCTCAAACAAGAGCGTTTGAGTGAATTTTTGGCTTCAAGCATGGATGTTTTTTTAATTGAATGTGCCTGTCAAGACCTCTGGCTTCCTGTACAAACACAAAATTATGAGACAGACTAGCTTTCCAAATCTGCAGTACCCTCACCATCATCCAACTGATCCTCCTGAGGCTGATCATTGCATATTCACATGCAGAAAAACAGTGAAGAAGAAAAATAGACAAAGCTCAGGCAGTTCTTCACTAAAAAATGTTGTCTTATTGTTGTCCTCTCTGTCTCTTGCCTTTACCCACCCTTCTGTGCTAGTTGTGGATGTTAGCTTAAAATGCTTCATCTGAATACTCTACTAATGATATTTGGTGACAGGACATGGAAAGTGCTTGGCTTTGGAAAAGCCTATGTGCTGCACCAGTTAGAGGTTGTCCAAGTAAAATCCACAATCTTTTGGCTACAGAAGTGACATGGGAGACAGAGGATGGAGTACAGGGATAATTTTTTGCTCTGAGAGAAAGAGCAGCCATGTTCTTTGCTACCTGTGAACTTAATTCCTTGAGTCACTGAAAAAAAACCAAAAGTGGTGCTCTGAAGAGGGTACTGATTAATAATAGTGACCTAATTGACTTAATTTGTTTGTGTTTCTGACACTGGTACATTAAAAATCATTTAAGTGCAGTGTGGTGGTTTTATTAGTAATATGTTTTTTATTATATAGTACTAGACAATTCTCTAGCATTTTTAGACATCTAGCCAAAATCTAGCTGTGCTTTCAATGGAATCAAGGGTTCCCCAGCACTTACCATGAAGTCAGTTTTCAGTGTGGTGGTCCCAGCAGGGACATCAGCCATTTTAAATTTTGAAAGTCAGCGGCAGGTGGAAGTTAGACATCTCTTTGTGAACTGGTAGTCCTAACCCTTTGTGTGTATGTGTGACTTTAATGGCCTCAACCACACACAGCAAGTAACTCACTTTGCCTCGCCAGCTGAAAAGGCAGGAAATCCTACTTGAAGAGTAGCAAAAGTAGCATGAAGTAGCAGAATGTGCTTTTGGATGTCATTTGATGGCTTTTCTAAGTGGCAGCTCTATTGTCCTTGTCTGTGTGTGTAGCTGGAACTGTATGGCTAGCAGACAGATGTAACATGAGGTGAAGCGAGTCTCTGTGTGCACTCTGACTGCGTGCATAGAAGAAGAGCAAAAGAGCTGCATGACAAAAATCTGAGTTACTAATACTCTCATAATTTCCTATTGGAAAACATATTCTTTAAATTATTTTCATAGATAAAAATTGAAAATGCTGTGCTAATTTCCACAGGGGTTAGAAACACGAATGTTTGTTGGAGTAAAAGAAGCTTGTCAAGCTACAGAATTACTGCTCATGCATTCAGTACAGTTACGGTGCTAGCACACACACTCACACAATATCTGCAAGCAGAAAAGATGCGATATGTCAGAGAAGCTCTTGCTGTTTGCCAGAGGTCTTAAGAGGATCTTCTATTTCATTCGGTAGTAATGCCCTTTTTGTTGACAAAAGTAAATTGATGACAGGCAAGAGGGAAGCATTTGGTGGAAAATTCTGTTGACCCTTCTCAGATTGAATTTGACCACAGAACAGGATACCAGCAGTTGCAGAAATGATAGATTTTTGTAATGACTGGCAAAATGGCCTTTTGGCATGTTTAAATGGCAATAAATTTCACTAGGAAGAGGGCAATTTAACTACCTTAGGGCAGTGAGGATATTCGTTGTTTGAGGTGTAAATAAATTGCGGTTCATTAACAGTGCACATATTATTTTCACGGTACAAGTCTAAAGCAGATGTTAATATTTAATTTAATTTAAACAGGTGTGCTTTGCCTGTGTGAGGCTTGGGTTTAGCTTGGGCTTTTTTTTTACTCCAGACTTTGGTAACTTTGGGAGACAATTTTTCAGGGGTCCTTTAGCCTCTGAAGAACCATGCTTACACAGCTCCGGTAATCGCAAATAAATCAGGGTGCACAACAGAGGGCAACCGCTTGGGTTGACTTTCCAGACAGTATAAATAACTGTGCCAGTTGGTATCACTTTACACAGAAAAGCCTCCAGCTTTTGGTATGTGGTGTTATGTACTGATTGAGTAGTCATGAGAAGTGAGTGGAGTAAAAGCCTTCTTGGTTAACGCCAGTGCAAAACCGAAGGAAAGGCACTGAATTAAGCAGGTGGCGGCAGAACCACCGCGATGTTAATTCTGGCAGAATTGACTTCTCATCTTTTACCTTGACTCTGAAATTCCCCCCATCCCTCGCTCATTATTTTGGCACAGTTCCTTGCTGAACTCTGCTGTTCAGGGAGGAGAAGGGGGGCAGGGAGGACACGTACCCAGTGCAGTTTGACATTTCCTCAAAAAGATTGTATTAAAATCCACTTACATTTAGAGCGCACTCTCATTTTGGAATGCTAATAAGGCATCATTTCATCAAGGTAAAGGGAGCAAAATCTAATCAAGACAAAGACCAGTTCGCCTTGCTGTTGACTATGTTCCTGAGACATCATTTTAAAAGGTTGCTTTTAAGCACAGCTAAAAATGACAGACTTAACAAAAGTTTATAAATAACTGCATCACTTGGCTACTTACATCTGTCTGTAATAAGTGAGCCTTATTTCTTTATTAAAGATTTTGGGGCTGGCTATGAGCTCATATCCATGTTGCTGTTTACACCAGCGAGCAACCATTCCCCCAGGATCAAGTTCAAGTGACAGGAAGGCAGGAAGATTTCTCCACAACTCTTGGCCACTAACTCCAATAGCAGGAGCTTGGCCATGACTTCTCTTCTGGCTTTGAAAAAACAAACCTTGATGGAGGAGTAATTTAACAATCTAGTTGTTGTAAAGCTAAACAAATCAAGGATAAATGGTCCCTAATAAATGTCATTCCAGAGCCAGGTTTATAAAGAAATTACTAAGGATTTCTTTGTGGGGGAAAAGTCTCAAGGTAGTGTGGACAATCCTTTCAACAACACAAGTAAAATAAAAAGTACTTCCAAAATCAAATAATAAAAGTCAAGTATTCAACTCCAGGCAGCTCAGGATCACCATGGAAGAAATCAGGGGTATGACAGCAGGTGCGTGTGGCCAGCAGATGGATAGGCACACTGTAATCTTGAGACGGCAACTTAGTGGGGAAATAGGGCAGGGCTGTGCACAGGGATTGGAAAGCAGAGATAAGTGTTTTAAACCTAACAAAATACATAACAAAAAAAAGGAATGCAAGAAGGGAAGTGCCAAAAAAAAAGAAGAGTAGGTCTCATACAACTCATTAAAATTGGTGTGATTGTAATTCCTGTTCTGCAGAGAATATTATTTTCAAACACCATCAGAGTGCCTTGTAAGTGCTACATGAAAAGGTGTGACTGATGTGCTGCTGGCTGCTTGATCTGCTCCTGGCATGGGAAAGCCTGTTAGTGAGGAGGGATGGGGGTGCCATAGCAGAATTTGCTTCTAAAGAGTGATGTTTTCATCTGAATTCAGTCATGGCTCTCATTACTAGGCTCTGAGCAGCCACTTTAGACAAGGCATCTCTCTGAGAAAGTCTCCATCTGCACTGCAGCCTCTCAACAACCATCTACTGTTCACAAATATACCCAGGTTGGTAGGGGGACCAGAAGATTGACCAAGATAACAAATGAGTTCAAAGGCCCAGGTGTAATGGAGTAATTAATTTATGGCCTGTGAGTGTGACACAGCTGGTTAGTTAGATAAGATAGATCCAGAAGGCTAGGAAACCATGTAAACAAATGTGAATTCCTTGATGGGAATATTTCCTGCATGCAGGAACCTGCACAGTCTTAGGGCAATCATTCAAACTTTCCAATTTGTTGTGAGCTTCCACCAGTGTCCTGTAGGTTGCTCATCAAGATGTCAAGGTGCCCCGTTAATACTGAGCACCAGTTTAAGGAGAGAGCACCTCCAGAAAGTTTCCCAAGGTTGATGCTGATATCTGTGCACACTAGGGGTGAGAGAGTTTTCTGGGGGAGGTTGTTAGATCAGTCCCATCAGGTTATAGTGGTGAAGCTGATTTTTGCCACTGTGATCCAGCATTGTGCAACTACTGCTGTGTGCAACATTTCTGATGGGTTTTGCTGTATTCATTGGTGCTAAATTGTTTCTTATTAGAGCTTATATAACACAGGCAGGCATCAAGAATTTTCTGTTCCTATTATACTGTTGGAAAAAAATTGGAGAGTTGGTTGACTTGGTTCCCTCTTCTCCTGTGAGACCTGTACCAAACACAGAGACTGCACCTTTTATGTCCCCATCCAGCTCAGACTGTTAGCCACAGGAATGTTTTTATCTCTTGTTTTCTTTGTTTGCTTTCTCTCTGGAATATTTCTCCCTCATCTCTGCAGTGAATGTTTTACATGTACAACTAGGAAAACTCTTTTAGGATTTTTTCCTAACAATTGAAGTCTGAGGCTGAAGGTTACATTTAAGCAGACTGTGATTACATATGGCTCACACAAGTTCCTTCCTTTCAGTTCCAGGGAAGAAAATAACATTATTGGCAATATATTCTTCTGCTTCATTCCTTTTGTGTTCATGGCCCATTTAAGGTTTGTACTGTCTAGAAGGTCAAGATTGCAATTTTTTATTACAATAGCATATTGTTGAAATGCTACTGGTGGCATGTTGTAAGAGAAGGAAGCACAGCATACTGCGTTGTTCTGGTTTTGCTAGCAGCGAATAGCTATATTGGCTCTGAAAGCTTTTAGAGATCAAGGGGTAAGAGGGGAAAACCACTCAGTAGTTGATGCCTGTCCTGATTCTATCACATCACCCTCTTGAGCTCATATTTTATTATTTATTGTTTATATTAATGGTTAATTATATTCAATATCATTTATACTTATTGTTTATTTATAGTTATAACACACTCATCATACAATATTAACAAAGCTATAACACTGTCATTGATGGCTGTTTT